CACCCCTATACACATCTCCCTTATTTTCAGTTCATCAGCCTGAACTAAGATTATTATTGGACTTAGATAAAATATTTAAGCCACAGGGTATGGCTTATTATTTTCGCTATACTTTTGATGCTGGCATAGCCTATGGGAAAGATCCTAAGCTCATTTATTCCTGATTTTTGGCATGTCTGTGGGCCTTAGGCTCTCCACTGCCCTTGATTTTCAACTTATAAGATTCCTCCATTTCTGGGCCTTATACCTGCCTGAGTCTTTGAAGCTGATCTGCTGAAGCTAAAATGGACTTATGTCTAATCCAACATATAATCCTTTCTCACATACCTTAGCTTTCTACCACACACACAGTACTAGTCAAAGAGTGTGAATACAGACTCAAGAGTTCAAAGCTTCTTGGTAGCTGATTAATCTTAACAAACTTTTGTAAGCTTTCATTTCCTCATCTACAAAGTGGGAAAAAACAACAGTATCTCTTCCAGTGTATTGTGAGGATAAATATTATAATCTACATAAAGCCCTTAGCACAACATTTAGCCCACAGAAAACATTCAATAAATATTAGCAACTATGAGTCATTATTTCAACTATTTACTTTATTGTACTTCTCTTGAATTCTTAATCATTGATAATTTTTCATACAGAAGGGGGGGAAACACCCAACTTTTCCAAAAGGAAAAATTCTCAGAAATAATTCAGTCATGTGTGAAAACAAGCTATCATTAGATTACTTTCTAATCTCTAATATTTCATATCTTATGTTTAATATATACATTAAACATATACACTGAAAAGAAATAACTCAAATTATTAACTGCTCAGGAAGTTAGTTACTTAATCTGATGAGTTACATTTGTTTACGATATGTTTATACTTTAAATATAGGTTTTTTAAAAACTTAGTACTCATAAGAATTCACTGTGATATGTGTTAGAACTAATATACAAAATTATGTGACAAAATTTAGCAGATTATTTATCAGTAACCAAGAATCTTCCCAATTAAATTACCACAAACCACACAGCAAAACAATTTCTAATCTAGAAAATAGGAAATAGACATGGAAGATATATAATAAGCAGTTGGGGATATGGAATTTATCCCATGAGTGTTGTAAAGAGCTCATAATTTAAAAGTGCCAAAGCCCAAGTGTGCTATGAGGGTCCTTCCTTAAAAGTGACATTAATTGCATATCCCCAGATGCTTATTATGTACTCTATTTATATCAAAGTATAAAATGCAGTCCAAAATATACAGATTCAATATATTTACAGTGATAAAGTAGTTATTCTGGCCTAGCAAAAAAGTTAATTTAAACTTCAATTTTTAGTCTCTTCATAAAGGAATATTATAGTAATACTGAATATTTATATTAATCTGATGTGAAGAAGAGTCTTCTGGAACCATATCACCAGTGATGGAATCTTAACATAATTTCTTTAGATGCTTTTGCACAAACATAACCCCCAAGTGATGAAGTCACAGGGTTATTTTTAACTCTCATACTAAAAATGAAATACCACAAAGACAATTATTAGAAATGACCTTGAAAGGTTGGAAATGATGTAGTCAATGCTTAAATTTTAAAATTGGTCAGTATGCATTGACAGGATCTTGTAGAAATTAATCTTTTTTAAAAAGTTCAACACTAAGTGATAATTGGCAAACAAAAGACAACTCAAGATGCTAATTGTCTGAATTAAAGCAAGAGAAACTTCATTCTATGTGCATGCAATAGAAGTAACCTTTCATGAAGTTAATGAAAAACATAGTGTAAACTACTAATAGGATATATTATTTTATAATATTAAATATAATTTACATTTAATTGTGAATTTAAATTTTACTACCTAAAATACCACCTGGTAGGTCAATTTAACATTTGCTAACAACAACAAAAGTTAAATTACCCAAAATATATAAAATAATTACTAAGCAAGCTATTATATAACTTCCAAGCATTCATGGGTACCTATTCAGATATTTCAAAATAAGTATTATTAATTTATATAGAACTCAGATAAACTAATTTGGAATAAGATTGTTCAATAATTATAATTAAAAATTTTATATTACATCATTTTTTAATTTTAATTTTCTATTAATCATTAATTCTGATTTTGTTAAGTAAATTTATTAGCAAAATACAGCAAATATGTTTCTGCATGGCGTATCTCCACCCTCAGGAGGCACATATATAGGGTGCATTCTCTTATAAAAACTGGTTTTAAAAATGGAGTAACTGCAAAAATTTTTCTCAATGGCAATTATCATCATAAGAGGAGGCAGATTTAAATAATTATAGAAAACTGGACTGAACATGGGTTTTAATTTAGCTTTGCTAAACACTTCCCTGTCATGTAAACATACATTTATGATTTACTTCTCAGTCTGTATAAACTGCTGGTATTGAAACCATTTTGCCATTGGCTCATTCATTATTGAAATTTTTACAAAGTTATTTCTGAATTTTGTTGAACACTTTACAAGAAAATCTTTGTTTTGTTTAAAAATCAAAAGTTTATAAAATAGCTAGCATATGAAAACATTTCAGATGACACAACTATGAATTATAATATCATCTAAGAATAGTTTTTATTAACTAGAAATTGATTATTTTATATAGGTTGATAATTTAGTCAAGCCTCAGACTGTATTTTCAAGTATTAGGTGTGAAATGAAACTACATTAACAACTTTCTTCCAGTAGGAAGAAACAGTAGCACCAGCAATTATTTAGATTAATAAATTTTCAGGTAGGAAAAGTACAAAAGGCCAAAGACAGAGCTAAAGGGATTCATGAACCACATAGTACATCATATCCAAATAGCTATAATATCCTAATTAATAAATGGTAATGACATATAATGATAATAAAAGTACTTCCAAACCTACATTGAATGCATATTACATATTGAGCACTATACTTTTTGTACAGACGAAGGAACAGAAGCTCAAAGTGGTAAACAAGTCTGTTTCATTTCAAAGCCTATGCTTCGAACTTGTATTTTATGTATTTTTTGATTCCAAATTTCTAATGGTAACTAATAGGACATATACAGATGATTAGTACACCCTGGGGTAGCATATAGGGACATAAGAAAATTCAAGCACTTTGGCCTTTCATGTGCTCCAAATATAGTAATAATGAAACCAAATAACTACATGGAGTAGGTAAATAAAGTCCTTGCACTATAAAACATAATACTGACCAAACTGAAATAATCAGTGACCTCTTCTTCAAAGATTAGAAAGTACCAATGTACTTTTAAAATACTGCAGAGGAGAGTCTATTAAAAAATAATGGGCTAAATGAAGCAGGTAAGGTTGTTGCAAGCCCTGGGATTGTTAGTTTTGCTGATAAAGTTGAAAGGATTAAGAGCAATTATGTCATGGATCATGGAATTTTATTGGGAAAGTCCTGGTCAAGATGTCAAAGCAGCTCTATGAACTATTATGATGAGGATAAGACAGAAGGAAACTAATGTCTGAATTCAGGCAAAGAGGTAGAAGATTATGAAGCATTTTAAAGAAATGATAAACACGTTCAACATCAGTTTCTTTCCCTAATATTTAAGACCAATTTCTAGACCTTACCAAACAATTTTTGAGGGTGTAAAATGGACTTTCATATTTGACTATCTCAATTCTCTGAGTGTGTAATGAAGAGGAATATAGAATTTAACTCCTGACCTTGCCACTTGCAATTTTAAAAATAAATTTTTATGTCTACAATCACAAACATTAGACTTAAAAGTGTTCATAGCAATTCATTAATAACCCACAGGGTTGCCCAAGTTCCATGTCACACACAATTTTCTCATTTCCAGGGGGGAATAGTGAAGTTGCTCTCAATGATGAGGTCAAGCTTAAGTCACTGAAATGGAAACAAGGAGCATTAAACCAGGAGAGCAGATTTCTTCCATCATAGTTCAGGGATTCCAGAGAAGAAAAATAGCTGGGATTATTACTGAATGAATCTGTGTAACATGATAAAATAAAAAAAAAAATACTAATTTATTCTTTTTGGCTGGATTAAAGGACCACTCTTCTGTTCCTAAACTTTTAATCACTTGAGATCTTTCCAATTCAAATAATGAATTCATATTTATTGAGCATCTAATAAGAAATACCTCAATAACATCATCTCAATTTTCCATGTTTACCTAATGGAGAATCAGGCTTTGTAGAAAATATCTACCAAGAAACTGCCCAGCATTAGATATGAATGTTTTATTACTTCAATATCAAGGATCATTTTTTGTCTGTAGCACTGCACAACTAATTCATATTACCAAAACCGCAATTTTTCTAATTTTCCCACATACTTTATACACTGAAAAAGTAACATACATACACACATACCTAAGGAGTGACTGGCTCCCTATTCTTTTGCTATAGCATGTTACAGAAGTTATGTGGCTGAAAAAATTCCCACCTTATGTTCATTGAGAGAGGTTTGTATTTTACTGATGGAAATCTACCTCCGAGGGTAGAGTAAAAGATGACCACGTCATAAAGTGAAAGGTATATGAACATCGTATGATTGTTTGGGTTTGGGGCTGGCTTAATGTGTGTATAACCCATATAAATTCCTAGAATGCATGATTTGATCTGCTGATGCCATCATGAAATCCTTACTAATTTTTTTTCAAAGGATCCCTACACCTTTCTTTTTCACTGGGCTCTGCAATGTAGCCAATCCTACATAATTATGGCTTTGAATTATGGCTTCACTGCATGACTTATATAAACTAAATCTAAGCCTTAGCTTCTTTATTAGTAACAAAGGGATAACACCCAATTAACAGGGTTGGGTGAAGTATCAGATAATACACCATATGTTAAAGTAATGAGGACTGAGGATAGCACCTAGGACCACAAAAGAGATGTGAAATAAAATGCAGCTAGAACAGTTCTTATTCCTACTTTTAGGGATCAGAGACATATAGAAACTACTATATAATTAGCTATAGTTGAAATTTCAACTTTAATACTTACAACCCATATATCTGTGGTGCAATTTCTAGTCTGTTCAAGTGCATGTAAAGCTCAATATCATGCTTCTTCAGTAAATTATCTTGGATCTGGTTGACTTTAGTAACAATGGCGATTGTTGGCCCTAAATCCTGTGGTCTAGCAAAGGGGATGGGCGTCATCAGTGTTTCTTTCCCCTAAAAACAGGAAAAATGGAATATGTATTATTTCAACATGAAATTAACAAATATATGAACATCATTCTTTATCAACATGAGTTTAAACAAGAATTACTTTAATCATTTCATGACAAACAAACACTTACATGAGAATCATATGCTACTTATCATACAACATCACACATCAGCACAACATATGATTGCGCTGTGTTCGTAAGGCAGTGGCCAGATAATGGCTTCTAAAGTATTTTTCACCTGTACTCCCTTGAACAGCTTCTTTTATGACATTAAGTTATATGAGATAATTTTGGCTAGATGTAGTGGTGGCCATTACAGTCCATCCATGGCCAATTTATCTGATCAGCCATAGTACATAAATGGAATCATTTTCATGGCAAGTTATTTCCTGTGGCATAAACCCAAATATGAAAAACAGTAAATAAAAACTATATTACTTTGAATTCTCAAAAATACATATGTAAAAAAGCACTAAACAAAAGAAACTAGTACTAGAAAAGAATATATGTTTTAATTGTGCTTTTATCAATTTAAATAGATTTTAAACTTGGGCGGCACCTATGGGTCAAAGGAGTAAGGTGCCGACCCCATATGGGGTTCTTTGACTTGCCCAAAAGCCGCAAAAAAAAAAAAAACAACCCAGCCCCAGGCAAAAATTGCAAAAAAAAAAGATTTTTAAATGCCCCATGTTAGAAGTACAGCTGGTTTAGAAAAAAAAACTCTATATTGGGCCATCTGCAACTTCACTTCCAGCCATCCCTTATCTCATATTAAGATGTGTATCATTAACTCCTTATAATGCTTTCATGTAAATGTCAACCCTCAGATCTGATCATTCCCCACTTATAGATCATGTCTGACCTTTGATCTGCTGTGTGGTCCTCAATTTTGACCTCTCTCCAATATGTGCACCTATAGCATCATTCTTTGGTGATACTCTGCCCACTATTGCTTCTCAGTCCATTTCTAGCTCAAATTCTTTCTGCTTCTCAAATGCTGCTTTTTCATACAGTTCCAGTTTTAATTCTATTCTCTACTTATATGCTACTTCCAAGTGATCACAATCATACAGAGTCCTTCAAACAATAGCCATTTTCCAAAGACTTCTTAATCCTAGACCTCTCAAGTACCTCCCATTAATTCAGATGTTGGCAAGGGATCCTTGATTACCACAAGGGTATCTTAATTCAGCAATCTATAACCAAGCTTATCATCTTCAGCTCAAAAACATGTTCTTCCTTTCACCAGGCCCACCTCAAGCTATCATCTACTAAAAACAACTACTCTGCCAATTTTAGCTACTCAGTACCACTTCTGTCTGTGTCCTCTTCTACAGCAATATTGGCACATTCTCATTTGAGGCTCTCATGTTATTCCTTCTTGCTCACACTGCCTCTAATTTAGTCTTCTTTTAAATCCATATTCCAAAATGCAAGGTGATCTACCTAAAACTAGATTACAGAGATTACAAAGATAAAGGGAACAAAGTTCTTGCTCTCATAATCTGTAGGAAAAGACTACATAGAAAATAATGAATTCTCTGTAAGACCAACTACTAATCAGCTGGTAGAAAGATCACAGGAAAGGAAAACTCCCTGGAAGAGAGTGTGTTAGTGTAAGGGCAAACTTCCTGGAAGATCTGTCTTTGCAGTATCATTTCAAGTCTTATAAAGAAATGCACTCCCTTTGTACTTTCCATAGTATGTGCCCTCATGTCTGCAGTCTTAACTCTTTTGTTTTTGTTTGTTTGTTTGTATGAAAGGTCTTTATTGGTGGGGGGAGGGAGGCTGCACCAAAGAGGAGAGAAAAGAGAAGAGAAAAGAGGGGAGAAAAGAGGGGAGAGCGATAAGGAGAGAGTGGGGAAGAGAAGAGAGAGAGAGAGTAGAGAAGAGTGAGGGGGAAGAGGAAGGAAAAGAGCTGCAGTCTTAACTCTTATGGTTAATTAGTTTGTGTTAATTTTGTATAGACAAAAGGGAACTTCTACACTGTGATCGCTTATTACAAAAATAATACACCCAAGACATCTTTTTCTGATTTTGTAGTATCTAGTATTTTCTAGAATGCATTAATAAAGAAAAATAATACCATCAAACAAATTTTTGTATTGATATTAAATTTAAATTTTTTTGAATTCACGTTTAAATTTTTTTGAAGATACCATTCATAGTCAAAAGATATTATTTACCCTGAAGCCAAAATTCCTTCAAAATCAATTTGATGCAGATTTTAGCTATGCACATTAGTAACAATGTACATATCAACTCAGTAGGGTAGCAATAGAAGTTTATATAATTCTAAAACTAAGCAGTTACATTGCTCGGTTAATAACACATACAAAGGAAAGTATCTATTTATTTATATGTATGTCACATTTTTATACTGTCTTTGCATATCTGTCAATATACTTAGAAATATATTTATATCCCTAAGTTCAATCTTATTCCATAGGTATCTTCATATGTTCTATCTGGTTATTGCAATAATGACTGCATATTATTCTCTGATTACATCTTTTTACTTACTAATCATTTATTCCCTCAAAGACACAGAAAAGATCTGTAATATAAAATTTACCTTTTGACCATCATGCTCAAAAGTTGAAAACCAAGGTTCAGCAGTTTCCATAAGTTGTGAGAACATTGCGCTAAAAATTAGAAAAAAAAATTTCTAATTTTACCTTTATTAAAGTACCAGTGGTATAAAAGTAAAACAGAGGTTTTGTACTTACTAGGCATCATGTTCCAGATACTCAGGGTCCAACAGAGTTTTCATTTCCTCACTTAAAAAAGCAATACCAGCAATCAAAATATGTAAGTTTTTAGAAATTAAAGCAGATGAACAGTTAGCCTTACTCAACACTCATAAAACAATATTAATTAATGTGCAAATGAAAAAAATTAGCCCTTTTTAATAAAAAGAACACCTCCATCAATAATTGATATCCTTTTTATAAAGATCAAAATCAAATTAGCTACCTTATCTGTACCACAATCCAGTAACTGTCTACTGATTTCAAATAAATATAGAATATGACAATATATTCCTTGACTATGTTAGATCTAGAATAATTCATTACTCCACGATCTATCACTAACCTGAAGCAAGACAAAAAAAAAAGTAGTCCAATATATAATTGGAAAATATCATTTTATTTAAATGGCATTTATTTTTATCTTCCTGTAACACTAATTAATCAGTGACAGAACTTCTTACAAATCTTAGTGTTGCTTTTACTTTTTAATGGATTGAAAGAACATGTCTAACTCACTTAAAAACTATTTTTGATCACCTATACTTTCCACTAAATTACATTCTGCATGTACATGTTTTTTTCTATTAATTTCCTGTATGAAGCATGCATACACATATTAAAAAAGTTAAACTGGCATGAAAACATGATCCCAGTACTAACTTCATCTTTATATTCTAGAATTACTGAAGTGAAGGCAATTAGGACACGGTTATTCTTGTGAAGATTCAATAAACTCAGAAAACTTAAAGAAAACAACTTGAAAATACTAAATTAGAAACTAGTAGACAAAAATTAATTTAACAAAGGCTGAAATACATGCTCAGCAAATAGGACAGTTATATTTGACTAATAAAGATCTTGAAGTTAGACATGTGAAGTGTTATCTGCTAGTTTTCCATTTACTACACATAGATGGGTGAGCCTGTGGTATATTCCTGACACAGCCTTCCAATTCTACAACCCTCCATTCCCAAAATGTTCTTTAGTTGCTTCTCTGGCCCATCAGCCAGGGTATCTTAGGTTAGAAAAGTGAATTTTAACAGTTAACCTATGTTAAATTATGAAAGTTATTTATGGGAAATAACTGAATGCATCCCCCAAATAAGAGAAGTCACCAAAAAAAAAAAAAAAGAAAGAGAGAAAAAAGTCATTTTATTTAGAGCTGGAGGATCTTTGTGGCTCTGCTCCCTTACTTGTGAACTAAGCAGAGTCAAACCTGGTGAAGAGAAATTATCTTACAAAATTCTCATTCAGTTTATAGTGAAAAGTGGATCATTTAAGGGTGGCATATTTGAATATTATCAATCATTAGCACTTTGGTTATTCTAACAGAAATTTCCTTTTCTTGATCCATTAGCTATATGTTTTCTTTTCTTACAGACTTAAGATTTTCAAAGTCATTTATGATTCCAACTTTGCCCATAATAAACTGACATTAGAACTATTAAGTGGAATTAACAATTAGTCACACAAAACAGAATCAAATGCTTAGGACTTAAAAACTTAGAAGTGCCTTCAATTTAAAAGATTTTGAAGTAAAAAAAGATTATAGTGGGGGCTAAGAAAACAGATGGAGCTCATATAAAAACTTGCCTGGGCTGTGCAGACTCACTGGCATGTAGGAAAGCTTGGTGGTCACAGTGAAGGATAAAGACTATAGGTGCTAACAGCTCATGCATGCCCTGAAACACAACAGCAAGAGAAATGAAAGAGATGGATACTGAGAGTACATTAGCAGAGGTATAAGCTCAGTTAAACACTTCTTCAGTTGGTTCCCGCCACCATTTCCATATTATACAGAAAAGCATAAAAATGGAAACCTACAAAATAAGATTTTATCTACTTTTAGAATTTGATTATAGTTCAGCCACAGCAGTATTCTCTTTAAAACATGGAGAGCAGTTCTCTTTTAAATGACATGACAAACAATAAATTGGCATGGTAGACAACCTTGCACCTGTCAGTTGCTTTAAGATCTGTACTTATAAATATGAATTTCATTTATGCAAATTATAATCACGAGCTACAGTGTAAAGATCTGCAGAAAGAAGGGCAACTGAGAACTAACTGTAGACCTAAGGAAATTATATCCAATGTTTTCATTATATAATGGCTCAAAATTAGGATGTCTGTAGATTTAGGAAGAGCTGAAGTGAGCTAGCTAGAAATGTTAAATAATAAAAGAAACAACGTTTAGCAAGTATGACAGAAAATAAACTTTTAAAAATATGATTTTCAATGTGTTTAATCATAAAACTACCATAATTTTTTCCTGTCTACTTCAACTATAAGATTAATTTTAAAATTTATTTAATGATTTTACTGATTGTAGAATAACTGAATCTTGGGGTTTACCATGAATAGGCATAGAAGCAAGAAAATATAGTATTAGTTGCTAAACTGCCTTTAAAAGAGTATTATAAAAATTCTTTATATTTCTATTATTATAGGGACATAAAGTATTGCACAATAGTGACTAGCCATGTGAATTGAGATGTTTTCCCCTTTAAGCATCAAAAACCATATTTTAGTAAGTTAAAATAGGTTATAATCTTTCCTGCCTCTTAAAGTAAGCACATTACCATTTTCCTTTTGCTTAGTAACTAAGGATGCTTTATTATAGAAAGACAAGAAAAACATATCATCTTTAGAGGAAATTAAAATAAAATATGGGAGCAGAAAGGAGAAAAATATTTTGCTGGTGGAATTAGAGAAGGCTTCCTGTAATGGACAGAGTCACACAGTCCTTTACGTAGCCTTCTAGTACCGTGCTATTCTCACGAAGCCAGCTGTTATCACAAAGATAACATGCAAGTAAACTTCATTTGTAAGTTATTACTCACCTTGAATTAAAAGAATTTAATTACATTTTCACAAAGTCATTTATGATTCAATGACAATTTACTTGAGATTTAGGAAAAAGTACCATATATCACTTTAATTTTTACAGGTAACTACATCCACATTAAATAAACCTTGAAAAGAATATTCCTTAGATAAACACAGTAGACATCTTAGGACATTAAGTGTTACTATGTATGATTTAAAGGTCATCATAAGAAATTTATTTTCTTGGAATAAATTTAAGTTATTCCAAGAAAGTGTCATAATTTTAAACATCAAAAACTACTAGGGTGGGGGGAGGAAGGGAGGCATGCAGGTAGATGAGTTAGCCAGCCAAAAAGCAAAAGAAAGGAAGAAATTAAAAGTTCTAATAGTCTGGTGGTGGTCTTTGCCCCTATTTCTGATGAGTTCTTTAAGATAAAGTCCTTAGAAGTAGAATTTCTGGTTAAAGGAAAAAAGGTGTTTGTTAAAGTCTCATACGTATACTATACTAAAAAAGGTATTTGTTAAAGTCTCATACATATATACTCATACGTATATATTATTAAGCCTAATAGTAGTAGGAAATCTACAGTGAAGATTTCCCTCACTGTATAACATAAAGTCTTCCTCTCACATATTGTCATCTATAGTTTTTTTCTTTTTAATCTTGTTAAATTTCTCAAGCTTCCTTTATAATATATTTAAACGCTAGTGGGATCGAACTCAAAAATTCTATTGGCCATTTTTAATGAGTTGCCCACTTCCTCTTGATAAAGTATTTCCTTTCCCTGATAATGTGTAATAGTTTTTTTTCTTTTTAGCAGTTCAAGATATTAATTCTTACCATTTTTGTTACAAATATTTTCCCATTTTGATTACTATCATATTACATCATACTGATATTATACACTTTAAAATATGTAAGGCTATGTAAGTCAATGGTGGCTCACGCCTACAATCGTAGCACTCTGAGAGGCCGAGGTAGGTGAATCACCTGAGCTCTTGAGTTCAAGACAAGTCTGAGCAAGAGAGAAACCATGTCTCTACTAAAAATAGAAAAGCTAGCCAGGCCTCAAGGAAACCAGCTTGTAGTCCTAGCTACTCGGGAGGATGAGGCAACAGGATCACTTAAGTCCAAGATTTTGAGGTTGCTGCGAGCTATGATACCACAGCACTCTACCCAGAGCAACAGAGTTAGACTCTGTCTGAAAAAACAAACAAACAAAATATATATGTATGTCATCCTTCATAGTTTTTTTTTTCCTTTCATGCCTAAAAAGATCTTCCTTATTCTGAGATTAGGTAAGAATATAGTTTCTCTTATTTCAGTTAATTCTTCAACTAATTGATACTAGTTTAATTTTTGCCATAAATATGTATTTTTCCTCTAAAAGAGTTAAACTAATTTATTGAACAATCATTCAATCTTCAATAAATTCAATCTATTTAATGAGATGAATAACCCATCTTCTCTAGAACTAAAAATTGCCAAGAACTAAAAATTTAGCTTATATTTTTTCCCATGATTTTACTGGTATTCCTTTGGTTTGTACATACTTAAAGAGATTTGTTAAAATTTGTTATTATAAAAACTTGATCTTTAAAATATTTTAATACTCCATTAGGAGTATTTCCTACTCCTTTTTACAAAATTATCTTACCTATTCTAACTTCATTTTTTCCCCAGGTTATTTCAGTATCATTTTTGTTACATAAAATGCTAAAGAAAACAGTGAAATTTTTATGAACACTGCATTAAAATTAACTTGATGGGAATATTTTTAAGAAGCCCAGATTTTCTAATTCAAAAATTTGCAAACTGCATAGCTTTTGCTAGGTTAATTACTAGGTTTTCTTTCTTTGTTATTGTTAGTGATGATATTTTGAATGGGTCTTTTCTCCCACAATATATTTTCTAACTAATTATGGCTAGTTTAGTAAGAAAGAGCTGTTAGCTAAACATTTCTTCCCACCTTTTAAAAATGTTTTTTGTCCTCTAGTTTTTGTGACACTATTCTCTCTAGATTCTCCGTTTATTCATGTATCATTTATCATTCCCGTGTTGCAAAAAATATTAAATGCCTAAATGTCCTGCAGACACCAAAGTGAATAAAGTGGCCAAGTTTCTAACCTTGACAGACTCTGCAATCTAGAAAGGTAGATACATAGCAATAAAATGAGCACAGAAATTGCTAGACCAGGGTCCCAACCTCACATGCAAGGGATACGTTCCAAGATCCAACCCCAACAGATGACCAAAACCATGGATTGTATCAAACCCTGCACATACTATGTATTTTCTATACTTATACATCAATGATAAAGTTTAACCTATAAAAAATAATTATAACAATATACTGTGGTAAAAGTTATAGGAATATGGTCTTTCTCACACAATATCTTACTGTACTAAACCCACTTATTGGTTGACCATGGGTAATTGAAACCAGAGAGAGAGAAACTGCAGGTAATGGTGGACTACTGTATACTCATAATCTGTAGTAAGTGGGCTATGTGCGTTTACACAAATATACATAAATTCAGATCCTATCACAGGCCCAGCACAAAGAAGGTACTCACTACACAGAATTGCTGAAATATCTACCACTTAATAAATCAGCATATTGAAAAAACTGAACTACATATGAAAAAAAGAATAGCATTAAATCATAATTCAAATAAATAAATAAATGTGTCCTTTGAAGAATGGAAATTAAGATTCCTCTGAATACCATAAAGACAATCTTTCACAAGTTAAGTTCTGACTTTCATCTAAACTGGAGATACTTTTTGAAATACCAGAGATTGCTAGTTTTGCTCTCAATTCTAGACTACTAAAACCTCATTAATAATTACAAATGGCAAGTATGTAGACATCTTTTAAAAGAAAAAAGAAATATACAGAAAGAATAATCATGTATTCAACATGCTTCAAGTTTGACAAAGCAAAATAAAATATGTATTGTCAGTATACTTCTTGGTTCCCAAAATGTGTATTTTTGCTCCCATCAATATTGTCAGCATCTTCTGCTTGCTTAAAGCTTTTATCCCTCCTAGATCGTTAGTAGTCACTGCACTCCAAACTCAAGCCAAATGAAAATAAAGGTAACAAAGTTTTCTTCATCAACAGCCTGTAGGCTCACAAAATTGAACCTGTTCTTTTATCTGCCTGTGTTCATTTAGCCCACCAAGCAGTCTTTATTAAAGCTGAGGCATCAGGCAGTCAAAGTTCATTAATACCATTTATATAATCTCTGCAATTTCAATTAACTCAGCAAGACATTCTACTACATGATAACAGTCTCATTAATTCAATAAAATCCCATAACTATTAACAATATGGTCGATGTTAAACGGGGTGTCACCTAGTACAAAATAATAGCTTTAACAGCTTGTGATGAACTCAAGGTTTTTTTCCTTAAATTTGATCTGGCTAAATATTCTGTCCTTCCATAGCAAAGTATTACTTCTCAGCAAAAAAAAAAAAATCTACAGGATTTTAAATATGTGCAAGGAGTAATCACGTCCTTTTAAGTGAAACACAGGAGTAAGCTAGTACTACTTATTACTTAATATTTGATACATTTTGTCTAAATTGTCAAGAATCTTATCTCCCATATTCCTGTATAGTTTTACATACAAATGCAGTGAGCTACATACATCACAAATGGTGGACTATGCAGTTATTATGTTTTTGTTCATCTGTGGAACTTATTTTCATTATTATAGACTTCTTTAATGTGATTTTTTTTTCTTTCTCTAAAGCACCTCAGATTGTGTGTAAAACCAGCACATTGTACCCCATAATTGCATTAATGTACACAGCTATGACGTAATAAATAATAAAGATAGGGAAATAGATGTGAAACTCGGGATAATTTTATTTTGACTTGATTCACTATCAACAAATCTTTTATTGTGAGGTATTTTCAAATATTTGAAAGAGAGGGAATAACAAGAAGATGGGGTTCAGGACAAAAGCCAACACAATGAGAAAATAGGAAAAAAATCAAAAAAGACCCAGATTCTTGGTGATGATTCTGAGCTACTGAACCAACTAATGCTGTAGAATCATTTGCCCCTAGACTTCGTGCTATGTGTGTTAACACTTTTACAGATTAAGCCACTGTGAATGGAATCTTTTGTCACTTGATTCCAGAAGAATTTTATACTAACAGAGACTTTTTTGCTCTCAGTCTCCCTTTTGTGTTTGTTTTATGTCTTTTGATTTTGTATCTGACTTCTACTTAGTCTATCTTGCTTGCAAGATAGACTTTCCTACACTCAGATTACACAGAAGTTCTCCTAAATAGTCTTCTAGTATCTTTATATACTTTTAGTTTTTACATTTATATCTTTACTCCATCTGGAATTTATTCTCCAATGAAGGTATAATTTAATCTTTTTTCCAGATGGAATGCCAAATATAGCAAGTCAATATTCCTTCCCTATTTTATCATATTAAAATCCTACATATAAAATTACTGGACCTGCTCCTAGATTGTTCTACTGATCTATTGGTCTATTCTCATAATGCTATTACAATAGTTATATCATAGAACTTTTAAAGAGTTTTAGTATCTCCCTTTGCCACTGTCCTTTTCTCTCAAATACTGTGGAAACTCCAATGCAATTAATTATAATAATGATGATATAACAACAATAACTACACATACTAACATGAACCACTAGTGATCACTATGTTAATTTTATAAAGGTAAATACTATTACTGTCCTTTTATAGATAATGAAAGTAAGGATTAGAAAAGCTAAGTAAGTAAATGTTCTAGCATTATGCAATTAGGAAAGGGTAGAGCTGAGATTCAAATAAAGAAAAGTTTAATCTAGACCCAGTGCTTTTAACAACTGAGCTAAATTATCTCCTTTAAAGTAACTATAAAGTATTTAGGCACTAAATTTAAAATAAATGGATCTAGTTTTTGAAAGAGCAATATCTCATTTAGATTATTATTGGAATAATAATACATTTAATATATTAATGTGGAAAAAGTAATATTTTCACTTAGTCTTCTAACCAAAAATAGTCTATAATATTTCTATCTATTCAATTCTCGCTTTATATCCCTCAACAATATTTACAGGTTTCTTCATATAGCTTTTGTATCTTTGTCAAATTTATTCCTAAGCATTTTATAGTCTGGGTTGTCATTATGAATGGGATATATATTTTCATTTCTAATTCTAAAAGTCTATTGTTAACTTGTAATTTATATACAGACATATTCCTAACATAAAAAATGAGATAAAATTAATTCATTTGGGTATTCTATAACAAATGTATTACTTAGAATAACTATAATTTACTTGGTTTACTATCTTTAAATCTATTAACTTTACTGCATATTAAATTGCTTTTACCATGTTTTCTATTATGTTAAAATGAAGTTCAGTGGTCAATTAGATATGTTATAACTTTTACTGGAGAATTTATGAACTTAGTTTGAATTCCCATTTAAAATACATTTTGAGTAAAAATATCTAAATGTGTGTATTTTTATTGAAACACCATAAACTCAAATAGAAAATCTAGATATATCTTTATATATTAAATAATTTACATTTTATAAAGTAAAACCATTCAATGATCTATTTTGCATTAGTAATAAGATGAGTCAATAACTGAATTACAAATAAACTAAATATAAAGTTCAAAACATTTAAAGAAAACTTCCTGAAGATCTTTTACTGGTAAATTTTAAAGATTAATGGGATACTTGATGATTTTTTACATGCCATGTCACATTTTTATAAGTGCTGCACTTAAAAATAACATTTATACATACAACTCTGAAAAGTTTTATTACTAGATTGGTTTCAAAGATGCTGTTTATAAACAAACTCACAAAAGTTGAAAGAAAAGATTGAACACCTTATAGAAGACAATTTGGTAGAATATCTTATAATGAGAAAGAAGCATATGTGCTTCAATGAGCTTACTTTTCTCACCCTGCATCTGACAAGCAGCTCTCTGATTGCTTTAGCATTATGATACAACTTTGGATACAATAAAGGCTACATTATAGCTCTATCATTTGTCAAGCTGTATAGAAAATTTTGAGTCAATGGATGCCACCTGTAAGATATTTTCATTACCTGTTTATAAAGCAACTGCTCGTTTTCTCTAGCATAACAGAAAAGAACATCTGTAAGAATTTTTCTCACATTTTCTTGTTGAAAAAACTGCATTTCAGGAAACCTGATAAAAGAAAACATAGGAATGAAATTCACTAACACAGGCTCAAGAATCACCCTCAATCTCTACAGATGCCAAGAGCTGCTCAGGTTTCAGAACAAGTCGGCATCTGTCATGAAACTTATTCCATTGGTGGGACAAAAAGGGGTGAAGAAAAGGGAAATTATTATACCCCATAGGTAAATGACAACCTTCAATGTCTAAACATTTCATATTTCTTCACATGCTGCACGTACTTCACACATGTGTGAACACATAGTTTTAAACAAACTGAATTATAACCCATGTTCTTGGAGGTGGGACTTGCTTTGTTTTAGATCATTTGGTTTGAAGGACTAGAATGTGATTTTGTGAAAGTAACAACTATTTCAAAACATCACCATCATTGTTTTTTCTTGATTTAAAATATTAGGATTTCAATTATTATATATAATCACACCATTCGTTTCATCTCATTAAAATGTTGAATTCAAATGGAACAAAAGGTAGTAAGCATTAAACGCTCCAATGTTCTCCAGATCGATCAAAAACTCTACCAGGTGCTCTGAGGTAATGTGAAATAGAAAAAGAACAGGGAATCTGCTTAAAAGGATTTAAATAGTTGTTTATAAAGCCAGAATATACAACTTCAAGAACCCAGAGAGCAAACAGAGCAATGCAATACACAATGACAATATAAAGGTAGAGGGAATGTCGTCAAGGTAGAAACAGCCAACTGGGTTCAATTAGAAGGTTAGAATAAGAATTTATAGGAGAAACATGGAACATCAGTGGAGAAGTAACCAAAACAGAAGGAAAGATATGGAGGCACAGAAGGCAATGAATATTTCAAGTTTGCAACATATGAAGGTAATTAGTAATCAGAAGGAAAAGAGAATTCCAGAAAGTACTGAAAATTGGGAGTGGGACAGCGGGACGGAAGAAAAGGTGGGACAGTGTGGAAAACCTTTGAATGCTGAGTTTACAACTAGGAACAACACAGTGAATCTACATTTTTGAATAGGGCAGTGATAAAGAAAACAGCATTTGAGTAACTCTAATAGGAATAAACCTGAAAGAGTAGAACTTACTGGAATGACTAAGAGTACATTATAATGACATGAAGTTAAAAAGTCCCAAACTTTAGTGGACACGCCTGTGTCAAATTCACATTGCATTATTTCTAGCTACATAATCTTGATTACTTAACTGCCTCATCTATTGAGCAATGATATTAATACTGATCTGGTGATCAAGATGAAACTATATGAAAGTATTAGGTATAGCAGATGACAACTAGTAGATATTTAGGAATATAGGTCTTATTAGCATTTCAGTAATGGTATTTTAGGTGGAAATAGTGAATTTAGGTGGAAAAGTGAATTAGGTGGCTTTGGAACTAGAAAATAAGCGAACATGAAAGAGTGAAGAGGAAGAGGACTGAGAGCATGGAGTCATTTCAAGTGTGCAAAACAGCAAGGTAATTAGTAATGAGAAACAAATCATTCACACAGAAAAATATTT